CTCTCTCCCTCTCTCTCTATCTCTCCCCCTCCCTCTCTCTCTATCTCTCCCCCTCCCTCCCTTTCTTTCATACGCATTATTTTGAGAGCCATGTAGAGATATCAGGGTTTTCAGGATTCTAACTGAATAACAAAAAAAGAAGATACTATTTCCAAACGAGTTCCCCCTTTGATCGCTCAGACCGAAAGAATGCAAGTGTCAAATCTTCGACATTCCAGGGACAAAAAGATAAAGATCTTTAGGCAAAATCATAACTGGGGATAATAATATAATAATATAGATACTATTTGTATAGCGCAAATCCCCGCAAGCACTATGCGCTCCACAATCTATACTATTACCCCAGCAGACCTGAGAGCATTCTGAAACAACCTCAACTTCCTTGGAAGCATACAGAGCAAGCAGCCATTTATAGGCTAAACATTAACATACAGACAAGATCTTTCGCTGTTTGTGACCAAGTATCCATTCCCACTTTGGTGAAGAGGGGGGAAATTCGTGTACAGTGCTTTCCCAAGGATACAATGTCGGACCCGGGGCTCGAACCCCCGAACCGGCATCCTCACTATTACGAGTCCGGCTTGGGATGAAACCTAAGTTTACTCTTGGGATCCCAAGACAAAGTTACAGTCAGCAGAATGTAGAGGCTTTGACGAAACTGGTCCAGAGATAACAAATCACAAACAATATCACTGACGGTCACGTAGTATAGATGGGTTTTTTTTTCTCGATATCAAAGGTAGGCCTATAGGCCTAATTTTGCTGTGGCCTGTTCCTATGGATACAAAGTTGAGACCAGCTATAACCCCCCTCCCCCCCCAAACAAAACGATCTGGTCGGCAGGAGTCTGGAGTTGTATTATCTTACGACAATAAGCTCCTTTACAAAATCTGGACAATGACGAAACTTTTGGACTGTTTCTCGAAAAACGAACGAGAAGAATCCTCGTTATTCACCAGATCTGACTCATTGTGGCTTCCATCTTTCCCACAAACGAAGGAATACCTTCGTAGACAAAGATTTGAATCGGAAAACGACCCAAAACTTGCCCTAAAAGAGGCGACCAGGTGCCTGGACAAAAGTCACTACGTCAGTGCAGATTAATCGAACGCAATTTAATGTCGATTGATATCGGTGGGGATTTCGTTTAACAATATGATGAAGGTATCTTTTTGTGCCAAATTTCATGTCATTTTCAAATCAATTAATAGTTTTCATTTTATCAATGTGAGAAACATACTTATAAAATGGACCTAATTATGTTTGGGTTTTTTTTAAGAAAGAGAAAAAAATCTTATTGTGTTGCAAGTGCCGTGAAACTCTTACTAAGACTAAAAGAACCAACAAACAATTATGAGCGCACGCGTGTACATGTGTGAGTGAGTGTGTGCTGTGCACTGTTTCGGGTGCAAACGCTGAAACAGCAGGCTTCGACATAGTTGTACGAACTGACATTTCCGCTGTAATTGTTAATAACGTTTTCAAACAATGAAACAGCACCAGTTGCAATGCTGTTAAGGAAAGGAAAGAATGACCCTGAATAGGCAAGCACTATAAATATAAAGCAGCCGCACATTTTGAGGAGCAAGTATCGTGATAAAACAAATCGAAAACTTCATTGTGACTGACCCGCTCAGTTGGGCTCAAAGAATATAAATGTTAGGAGAGGAACCTGTGTAAGTCTTAAAGTCGGTGTATATAGTGAGTATAGGGCTCGTTTAGGCCAACCCAAATTCTTTCACCCCAACCCTCGCAAATTACGGTACAGCAGTTTAGGAAAGTTTATTATTCAAGTTAAAACTGGGTTATAAGACGGATTCCTTTAGATGGGCACCATACACACATTAGGCCTATATAAAAAAAAAAGTTACCACACACGATAGACCTATAAACGTGTTCATAGGCGGACCAGGTTCTTACGCGGAATGTTCTAAGGCAGAGACGACTGATGCCTACAGTGTAGTTCGGTTTCAATATTATTTCAAAACTACTGTATACAATGTAGCCAACCTGAATTCACAAAGGACAAAATTATGTGAGCATGGATGTAAATACCCACCCCCCCCAAAAAAAAAAAGCAAAAAAAAACAACAACCCCAAAACCGACAACAACAAAACAAAAAACACAAAACAAAACAAAACCAAAACAACAACCAATTAACAAACAAACAACAAAACAAACAAACAAAATCTTTTGGAAAACAAGACAACAAGCGAATTCATTTCTTTCCGCGGACCATACTACTTTTAATTAGAGCTAGGTCCCTATACGTCATTGGAGGAAAACAGTTTAAACAACACCATAGAACAAAAAGGGGAGACATTCTTCCCACGTCCCTGCTAAACACATAGTCCTAGATCCGATTTCTCTTCGATTCCTAGATCTAGTACAAATGAGTACACCCTTTTGTGCATATAGATCTAATTTTAATTTAATTTGACTCATCACTGTTGCAAAAATAGTCACGTCAGCCAGTGTGACCCAGTGAACATTCCGGTGAACGGAGTGTTGTCACAGCTTGCCATCACATCATTTCCGCTTTCTGTTGGCTCACCGAAAAGACGTAAACACAACTGAGCTAGAGCAGCTACAGTTACAGGTTTCTTGTTTGTGTGTCAACATTGTCATCCCCAATTCTTTTGATCTTTGAAGAATCAAATACAACAGTTCTAAAGCAAGTAAATGCTTGGTATTTTATCTTATATACATGCACACTGTGGCTTGTGGTCTCCCCATTTCTTTCAGTTCGGTCCAGGATATTTTTGCGTCTGATACTTTTTTTTTCAGTTTGGATTTGGAGTTATTGAATGGGTTTTCGTTTTCTTTATATTGGGAGTAAGGACGAAAGTTGGGTTGACCGTTAACGTTGTGTTGAGCTCAGGCGAGTCAAAAGGAGCTTGCACTTGTTACACGTGTAGGGGCATTTGGACAGTGACCGACCAGTCCAATACATACTCTGAGGATGAGATGGGGAGATCAGCAGGTCGTTCTTTCATTGTGACATGACTTAGATTTCTAGAGTAGACAGGAATGTATAGATATCTAGATCTAGATAATAGATGAATAGGCTGCCTGGCCTGTTCAGGCTATTCCACACTAGATCTAGGCTGCAGTCACATATTTCAGGTGCAGTGAAAAATCTAGAATCTAGATCTAGATCTAGATCTAGATCTAGAGATCTAGATCTAGATTCTAGATCTATATCTAGATCTAGATCTATATCTAGATAGATATCTATGTGATTTCTGTGGCAAAACTTTTGACACTTTACACAATTAGATCGAAGTAAATTAAACTAGATCTATATATATATATCTAGATCTACAGAAGAGTATTAAAAGACGCTTTCAGTGGATCTCTTTTCTTCAGTCACCCAGTTCTACTGAAGAATTTCTAAAATAAAGTCTGGTCAAACTGAGTCGATCATTTTTTTCTTTTCGGATATCCGTTTTCTTTTTTGTTAGATCTATTGCCTAAAGGCTAAAGGCCTACTTTTGTATGAAACATTTTTCTGAGTTTCTCCCATGCCCTCTTTTCACATGGGGTAACTGGCCTAGGAACAGCACTGCTATGCTGCATTCCCATCCATTGACATCCTTGGGTGCAGACACTGACTGCGGAGTGACGTTTTACGAAGATATATATGAAAAAAAAAGGTCACTTCAAAAATTGTTCTTTATATATATAATATATATATGGAAATACATACACTGTGAGTGATAGTGCTCTTTCCATTGGACTTGGAGTTGTATCATATTAAAAGTGGTGTTGGTTATTGCACTTTTAAATTTTGTAATATAATACGTTTTTATAAAAAACTAATGAACTGATGTAAAGTTTGTCTTTGTAAGTGATGTCTTTTTATAATATTATTATCTGATTTTACTTCCAGGCAGTGGTGATTTCAAAGTGGCGGATGATAAAGAGAAGATAATGCCTCGTAAGAGTGTTGACAAGACTCGCGGCGGCATGAAATACCAGAAATTATCCAGTACAGTTGGTGGTGATGGATTTGTTGACCTTCAGGTACAACTTGAATTTTTACCTAAAATAGGTATCAAAAACACGTGAAGGAATTAAGTAATTCTTTAGAAACCATCATGGTTTGTACAGTTCAGAATAGATGAAGCTGTCTATGCAGTACAGAGCTAGCCGCCTAATTTGCGATGGACGCTGAGATAAAAGGAAAAAAAACCCTGTTCTACAGTGTTTAAAATCTTCCCAGTTTTTGCGAAAATCTGTACATTCTGAAAGTCCCATACTTGCCGCATCATATGTTAACTCATGTATGCGTTATTTAAAACTGGGAGACAGTAGATCTATCAATTTGTCGGCATTCTGTTGCGTAGGATCAGTACTTGCCTCCATAACTTCTCCGATATTCACGATAATTCGGGGAAGTACATTGTATTAGATACTGCCAAATTGAGCATTTGGCGCACTCGACCATTTTCCCTCGGAGCGGTTCGGTTGGCATATATATATTTTCTCGTGCAAGTCAGCTGAAATTGAGTTATCTTCCTCCTTCCTTTTATTCATTCTTTCTGTCTATCTTTCGGGTTTTGTTGAAGCTGAAAAATCTGTGCATTTTTCAAGAAAACTGAATTGTGAATGAAGAGAGAACCAGTATCAGAGAAAAGCATATATTCGCTAATAATAATCTATGACTAGATCGAGGGAATTGTTTAGTACCAGCCTGATGATTTTAAGGCCGTGATTGATGCAAAAACAAACAGATATAATTAATAAAAAATAACTCCAAGGTTTGACTTGGTGCTCTTGACGTGATGCTGGAGAATAAGATTTGAAATTTAATTTTATGATTAGAGAGCGCTGTGCAGCATAGTGTCCCTATGTTGGATGCCTCTGCATCATGATAGCTTGTTACTGATTAAAACTGGTTCTGTGATTTAGCAGTTTAAAAAATAAATAATTTGTGATGCAGTGATTGCCAGATTTTCAACATCCCTACATCCCTACATGATCCCACACTCTTATAGTCCTTCCAGCTCCAGCTCTCAGTACATGCTCCCTTCTACTTATGTCACTTTTTGCTCTGCTGTTAGTTCTACTATAAAAGTTTTTCTTTAAATAGAAGTTTTGTCTTGCATGCTTATATTAAAATCTGTGAATGCTGAAACCAAAACTGAAACATGTTTGGACAGTTGATATTGTGGCCCTTCCGCAGGCCCAGAGGCTCAGTCAGGATTCATTTTCTTATTTTGAGAAGGAAGCTAGTTAAAATGTCTGTCATATCTAACTCACACATCATTTTTCTGTGCCCTTTATGGGTACGCTATTGCTATTGTCAGAAAATTTGTTTTAGTATAGTTTCTATTGGTACAGGCCATGGGTTTTAAAATCAATTTTGCAGTCACCATATGCACTCAATTCCCCATTCAATACTAATTCAATAGGTGCCTTAAACAACAGTCCATAAATGGTTTTAAAAAAAATATTGTCTTGTTTCATTAACGCTGTACTGTTCACCTTCACTTATTTATGGGCACACAAACAGCTCTCCCTCCTCTCCCCTCCCCACAATACATACGCAAGGGCATGCGCTCATGCCCCCCCCC